CCCGAGAACTCACTTAACTGTGCTCACAGGAAGTTCATGGTGATGGAGATAAACTCAGGGACAAAACATCACAGGAAGTGGGTTTTGTGGTAAGAGACAGAAGCACTGAGCTGTGAACCTCAGGAGGGTCTGAGCTCTATAAGGCCCTACTCCCATACCTTCCCTCTAGGCTCAGGTGGCTGGGCTGGACCTGGGGATTCTAAGTATGAGTGCAGGTCCTTCTGAGGGAGTGAGACAACTCCTGATAGTCTTCCTGTAACACCTCTGGACCCACTGGACATATGCTCCAGAGCTATGCATAGCAGAGCTGAGCATGGAGAAACAGACAAGCCCATCCATACTATCTATGTCCCCCAGACAACAGCTTCCTAATTTAAGTTTAATGCTCCACTATCCGAACCCAGCTTCATTCCTCATGACAGAGTTTGTAGAACTCCTGTGACCTCCAACACACATTCCTTACTCAGTCTCATCAATATGCAGATGCTCCTAGGTCTTCTTTCCTGGCCTTGCCATCTTCACTTAAATGTCTAACAGAACCACAAACCAAACATTCCCTAAAGAGAACTCCAGATTTCCTCCCAAGCTGTACCCCACCCCCATGATCCCCATGTCAGTATGCGGTACTTGCATCCCTCCAGCTGCTCTAACCTAGGAATCATGCTGGCTTCTCCCCTTTCCTCATCCTTTACAGATAGTCCATCAGCAAGTACTACCAGTTCTCTCTCTTGGTCCCCACTGTCACCCCAGCAGTCATGTATTAACTGGTCTCCTGGCCTCTACTCGACATCATTCTTCCCAATCTACTCTTTTTTTTTTTCTTTTTCTTTTTTTTTTTTTTAAATATATCTTTATTGATTTCAGAGAGAGGAAAGGAGAGGGAGAGAGAGATAGAAACATCAATGATGAGAGAGTCATTGATCGAGCCCGCAACCCAGGCATGTGCCCTGACCAGGAATTGAACCCCGATCGCCTGGATCCCAGGTCGATGCTCAACCGCTGAGCCACACCCGGCCGGGCCCAATCTACTCTTGAAATAGTGGCCACAGTGGGCAGCTGAGTTATTGTATAAAACTAAATCAGACCATGTGAGTATAGTGGTTTAAAATTGCACTTAAAAACAAATCCAGCCCTGGCTGGGTGAATCAGTTGGTTGGAGTGTTGTCCATACACCAAAAGGTTGCCGGTTCCATTCCCAGTTGGGGTGTGTACAGGAGGCAATGGGTTGATGTTTCTCTTTCACATTGATGTTCCTCTCTCTCTCTCCTTTCCTCTCTCTATAAAAATCAATAAAAACATATCCTCAGGTGAGGATTCAAAATAAAACAAAACAACAACAACAAAACAAATCCAAACAGTATGGTGGTTCCTCAAAAAATTAAACATAGAATTACCACATGGTCCAGCAATTCCACTTTTGGGTATATACCCAAAAGAAGTGAAAGCAGAGACTCAGATATTTGTGTGCTGATGTTGATGGCATCATTATTCACAGTAGCCAAAATGTGGAAACAACCCAATGTCCATGGACGGATGACTGGATAAACAAATCTAAACTAACCCAAAGCACTCCCCAAAAGTCTCTCCCCTGGGTTGCATACAGTGCATTTCTTGACTTCAGGGTAGCCCCTTCTCCTACAGATCCCTCTACCTTCCCTTCCACAGCGCCACTTCCTGGCCAACCCCACCTCCTTCCTCCTCTCTCCATAAGGAACTTACTCACTGAGGATCCCGTTCACTTCTCAGCAATACCAGGTCCTGGGAATGTGTCTGATGTCCTCCCATCCACCTAGCGAAGTCCCACAGGAGGGAGGACTAGGCTGTCTCCCCCCCCCTCCCCCCCGGCAGGGCAGGGCTTTTGACATGGAGCCGACCTGTGTGGGGCACAACAGACAGATGGGCCTGGGGGCCAGTTTTCATAAGCTTGTGGAGTGTGCCAGACCAGGAGTATACCTGGCATCTGACCTGGCCACACAGGAATAAAATCTGTGCCCAGGGTTTAGACTCTGAGGTAGGTAAGAAAAAGTTCCCCAGCCTGCCACTGGGCATCCTTCCCCCAACCCAAGCACCCAAAGTCTGTTGTGTATTTGCAGTCACAGAGGACTGCCAAGTACCTGGATAGGATGACAGAGAGCATGGACATTGTATTTCAGCAGAGACTCAGCTCTGCTCTGTGTGTGTGCAATGAGAGCAGCTAATCTGATAATACTGTCAAATGTGTGGAAAATTTTATCTGGCTGTGGACTGCAGAGACGTCTGACCATGGCTATGAGTTCTGTTCTTTTCCCCGCTGAACTGAACACTGCTGAGAGAATCTCCCAAGTCTGAAAGCCTGCATAGTGCGGTTGTCTGTCCTAGGGTCCACAAACTCCCTGGCATTAGATGCAGAAATGTGGGTGTGTGCACAGTGTTGCAGCAATTCTGCTCTATTTCAGGGAGTGGAGTAAAGCTTTGAACAGATTCTCAAAGGAGGCCAGGACCCAGAAAACTAAGAAGGATGGATTTAGGGTTTTCAGGCAGGTGATTCCGAGATGCTGGAATTGGCCCTAAGAGAGAGTCTAGGAGACAACCAGAGAGAAAGCCTGCTAGGGCCAGGCACTTTGGAGGGGCTGTTGTGGCCACTGCAAATTCCACCCTACTAGGCAAAGGCTGCTGTGCCCTTTAGATGCTGCCCATGCCAGCCTGGCATTATGTCACTTTTCTAGCCTGGTCAGAGGAGTTGCCCAACTGGGCACTTGTACCTTATGGACTCAAAAAATTCCGGGTGAGGAGTAGAAATAGTTTAGAACTCCCACCCTATGTGATTCAAGGGAAGAAATATCTGAAGAATGGGTAGCATAGGTTTGGGGGAGAAGGGTTACCAGAGAGCCCAGTTTGAGAGGAAGGGCAACTGATACACCTGCTCCCCATTGCATACAACCATTCTATTGCTACTAAGGGGCACTCCCAAGCCCCTCCCATCTTTGCCAAACTTTGCCTCTCCCTTTCCAGAAGCCTAATATTATGCTTCTTGCCCACCAGACTCTCTCACTACATCCTTGATACCTGTTTACCTTTGCTTTCTAAGTGCTGCTAGGTGTCTGTCCTATGTGGGGAAATGTGAACTCCCCAAAGAAAGAGACCCACCAGTACTCACACTCAGCTCCTCTTTCCACTGTCTTCCCCAGCCTTATTCCTCCTTTTAGCATCAACTCTAATCTACAAGGCAGGAGGAAGGCTGGGGGAAGGTCAGGAGAAGCAGCAGCTCTATTGGAGTGGCCCCAAGGAATACTCTGGGAAGTGTGGTGTCAGTTTGTGTGCTGGATATAGGAACATGGGCACAGGAAGCCAACCTGGGAGAGTCCTAGATACCATGTGCCACCTAGGAGGAGGGTTCAGCTTCTGGAAACTCCCAGCCTAATGATGATGCATCAGTCTCTCAGCTTCCTTCCTAGTTCTGGCCCTGTCATCAACTCTCAGGTGGTCTTAAGAACTTCCTTTCCGGACTCCGGATCCTCTGCCTCTCTTCCTGACAATTACCCTCCTACCACTTGCCATCCTTCTGAGACAAGGTCACTTTCCACCTTAAACATCTTCAATGACTCCTAATTTCCCCCCCAAATACTCTTTAGCATGGCATGAATTTCAATTCAACATCTTTTTAGTGTCATTTCCTAAAACAAACCTAAGCTTCAGCCATATGAAACCTCTCAATTTTTCACAAATATACCTATGCCTCTAGGACTATGTCTATGCCATTTTCTCTTCTGGGAATGCCCTTCAAGGCCTCTTCTTTCCCTAGACACTCATGCTTTAAGGCCCAGCTCCAATCTGGCCTCCACTGTGGACTGCCCCAGCCACGCTACACAGAAATAACATCTCCTGCCTACGTGCTCCCAGAGTGCATTGTGCCCATACAAAGACTAAACTGGAGCCAATGCTTATAGTGCTCTTACTCCATCTAAGTACTGTGTCACATGAATTATCTCATTTATCACCTGTCTCTGATCCCTCCTTGTGAGGGAGTCAACTGTCTTCATTTTTAAAAGGAAATTGAGGTTCAGAGATGCTAAGTATCTTGCCCAAGGTCCAACAGGAAGAGGCAGATTGGGATTTGAATTCCTGGGTGTTGGCCTCTCAAGTCCATGCCCTTTCACATCTATTAGGGGTGTATTATGGGCCACACTGCTGTGATTGGTGTTGTAAGGGGCCATCTGACCCATGAGGGTCGTTAGCTTTTTTAGGGCAAGATCCATCTCATTTGTTATTTGTCATGGTATCCCCTATGCCTAAGTCAGTGTCAGGCACAGAATACTCTGTAGATGTTTGTGGAATTACTTTAAAAGGTGTGGGTGGAAGTTTGATGAGCAACTCACTTGCCTATTATGAACTACAGCAAAGAGGGCTTTTGAGGTGGAAACTTTCAGGAGCAAAAGAGTGGTCTAGCAGGTAGAAAACAGAGGGAAGGCCCATCCCCACCCTCTGCTTTGATCTCTCCCAGCATTTCTGATTTGGGGTTGGGCTTCAGAGCTCTAAGGGAGTCTTAAAAGCAACAACTCCTAAGCTTTTGGAGCCCTTTGGGTGAAGTGGGGATGAAGTCCATGCTCTAGGAATGTGGTCTTCTTGCCTGCTCTCCCCTACCTTCCTGTTCCTCACCTGCCTTCTCCCTGCTCCTGGCCTTTATGATGAGCTGTGATGCTAGGGAGCAGGCAGTGAGGGTGCCTGCTCCCTCAAGAGAACCTGCCCTCCTTCCCAGAATACCCTCTCCTCAGGGCCATCTCTAACCTTACCCTCAGTGCTGGCATCATCCACCAGTATGATCTCCTTCAGCAGGATGGCAGGGGTGGTGTGTAGGACACTGTACACTGTTCTCAGCAGCGTGGACCAGGCCTCATTGTGAAATACAATGATGATGCTGGTGGTGGGCAGTGGCGGGCAGCGCCGAAACTTCTGGTCAACACATCTGGAAGAATGAAAGTGTAGATTCAGCTCTCCAGGTCCCTCAGAGTTCCAGGGGTAAGGAGGGCTCTGTGCACAGATTACCATAACCACCTACTGCTCCTGGGAACCACTAGCCTACATTCCCTGTTGCAGTTGGGAATAGCTGCTCCCTGTTCCCAGCTTACGCTGTATTTTCCACCTACTCTGAACCTCTGCACAGATCCTAACCAACCTACTCCAAAATCCGTTTGCCCCAGAGCTGGCTCAGTGTCCCAGCTGTGATGCTGAGGGCTCCTCCCTGCTCCCCTTCTCACTTCTTTCATATGCTCTAGGAGTTCCCAGGGCTGACTCTCTTCCTCAGTAATATGTGTGCTGCATAAAGTGTAATCCAATCCAGAGGTCCCAGAGGGGAAGTAATAAAGGGCAAATCTGATATCTGAGAAAAGTGACTACAATTTTCATACTCTTCGTGTTATACTTTACAGTTCTTCTCTAATCCATTTCCTCATTAATTCCTTGTAATTGGACACTACTATCACAATCAATTTCCTGTGACCTTTTCTCTACCCTCATCTACTCCAACCACTCTGTGGCATTGATCATGCTGCTACCCTCTTGACACTCCATCTTGGGTGGCGGTGGGAATGTGTGAATCCTGGATCTCAAGGAATCATGTGGCCTAACACCCTTTCTTATCCCCTCTGCTGGCCACGAAGATTTCTCATGGAGCCTCCAGGAGAGACACCCAAACTTCCTCCTCTGGCTGCCCTTATGGCCCAATACCCTTCCCTGCTGAGAAGTTCATGACAATTCCGAGTAGCTCCAACTTCTAGGACTATAATACTTGGTCAATTTTGAGGAACTTAGGTTCACAACCCTAAAGAATCATGAATTTGGGGACAGGGGCTGCCACGTGACAAAAGGCCAGAAAGGGTATAACTTTGATTTGGGAAAGACAAGTCTAAATGAGAAAGACACAAAATCTTTGACTTGAGGACAGTGTGAACACAGCCATGACCACATTAGGGTGAGGTGGCTTACGGCTCAAAGATCTAAGTGCTGGTTCACTGCCCAGGATTGAAAGTATAAACAGCTTCAAATAAAGGGTGGAATGAATTCATGGGCCTATGCATCTTCATTGGAGGAAGGAAATCAGAAGGTGTGGGGATAGTCCTGATCACCAGGGCCGCTGTCAGGAAACGTCCCTTTCCCAGCAGCTCAGCAGCAGCGTTCCATAGTCTCTGGGGCAAGCTTCAGCACAGGGCAAGGCCACCGAATCAGTGGCCTGGCATCAGTCCCTCTCAGTCACTCCTATGCCAGGCCCTGGTCCCAGGCCCTGAGTTCTTTTTTCTGTATCCTGTCACCTTCATAATTGTGTTTTTACTCTGACAGGCCTCCCTAGGCCTCTGGCCTGACCAGAATTCTCTTGAATCCCCACTCCTGGGATAAGGGCAGTTGGTCAAGAAAAGGAGTGAGGGTATAGAGGAAATCCTTGTCCATATGCTAAAATCCCCATCAGCTCTTTACCTGGCACTTGGCCCAAGGCCATGGCCATACCAACCATACCTTTGGCAGAGCCCAGGCCTCACCCCATGACTCTGGGTGCTACTTACTCAGGGGGTCGAGTGTCTGGCCCCAGGGCCCTCTGTAGGGAGATCCGGTCACTGGCAAAGGCATTGAAGCAGTGCTTCTTATAGCCCTCTTCCTTTTCCTGGGTCTCCAGGGGAGTCCAATTATTCTTCTGAAATGCTTTCCCATCTGCCCCAGGGCTGCTGGGATCCTGTGGTGGCCGTTCCCAGAAGGGCTTCAGCTCAGCTGGGGTATAGAACCCAGGGAGGCAGGACTTGTTTGTGGAGACCAGTGTCTCCTGGGGCTCTGGAGCCCTGATCTGGAGCTTGGGCATCGAATCCTTAAGGTTGTTCATGGCCCCCATCATGAGGTCCAGGACGTGATCCTTCTGGCTCACCAAGGATTTCAGCCACGGTTTCTCTGTGGCCTGTTCTCTGCTGCTTACATCCCTCTGCAGGATGAAGAGAAAGAGTACAAAAGCACTGCCCACCATGGCCAGGCGCAGGGGCATGTGGCGTCTGCGGAGAAGTCTCATCCTCTGGAACTAATGGGGACCCTGGCTGAGTTACTCGAGTTCTGGGCCTGAGCCTGGAAATAGCTTGATATGTCGTGGTGGCCACACCTCGGGGCCTCAGCCTGAGAAGGGAGGGAATGAGGGAGAGAAATAAGCCAAGGCAGGGATGGAGAGGGAGTCAGGGGTTTGGGGTTCAAGACTAGGCTCTGTTGCTGAATAGTGACATCACCTTATCCAATCACTTAGCTTTCCTCCTAAATTTCCACCATCCATAAAATGAGGAGACTGGAATCAAGTGTTTCTTTCCTGCCCTAAGATTCTGACATTGGTGGATCTAGAATAAATAGAACACTAAAACTCTAAATGCAGAGATTTAACAGAAATAACCACTTTGGGAGACACTTTGGCATTATCAAGTAAAATCTAAAACGTATACATCCTATGATGCCGCAATTCCACTCCTAGTTTTATATTCCAGACAAACTCCAGTGCATATGAGCCAGGAGGCATGTATCAGAATGTTTCTAGTAGCACTAACTAAAATGGCAAAAATAGGAACCATTCAAATGCCCATTAGCAGTAGAATGAATAGAGTGTGAAATATATCCTTATTATGAAGTACTCTATGGCAGTGACCAAGAATGAACCATGTCTACATGCAACAGCGGGAATGTAATGCTGAGTGAGAACAAGTTGCAGAAGGATACATACAGTGTGATTCCATTTACAGAAAATTGTAAAGCATGTAAAACTAAACAATGCATTGTTTATGAAAACAAAAGTGAATACAAAATATTGTTTGTGAATACAAAAATGAATATGTGGTAAAGCTATAAAGAAAACTAAAGGTATAATGAAACCAAAGTTTCTGAAGAAGGAGGAAAGATATAGGAATAGCCCTGGCCAGTGTGGCTCTGGTCAGAGCATCAGCCTCCACACCACAGGGCTGCAGGTTCGATTTCCTGTCAAGAGCACATACTTGGGTTGCAGGTTCGATCCCCAACCCTGGTTGAGCCGCATGTGGGAGGCAACCAATCCATGTGTCTCTCTCACATTGCTGTTCCTCTCTTTCTCTCTCTGTCTCTCCCTCTTCCTCCTTCCCTTCCATTATCTCTGAAAAGCAATGGGAAAAATATCCTCAGGTGAGGATTAACAACAACAACAAAAAGATATGGGGATAGAGGCACACGGGGATTCAAAGTAAAGTGGGTTTTCTTGAAGTGGATGGTGGCTGCTACTAGTACTATTATTCCTTATACCCTAGACATATTTTATAAATATTCTTCTGTATCTACACATGTTTAATAAAAAATACTAAGATTCTATGACAACACCTTCCAGGCAGGGCTGAGCTTTGGTGTTCCTCAGCTTACACCCCTGGGCACATACATGATCCTACAGCTCAGAGGATGAATGTCTGCAAAACTTTCTGTGGAGAGCTCTGGAAACACAAGGCTCCCTTGTTAAGTACCAGATGTTCACAGCAACAGGCCTGGGCACAAATCCTAGTTCAGCCTCTTCTAGTAAGAATGGCACCTACCTCCTAGGGTTGTTAGAAGGATTAATAGGTCAATAAATAATCATGGAAAAAGCTTAGCAGTCTCTGCACACAGTAATTTCTGGAAAAGTAATAGTTTTTATCAATAGTGGCTGTGTGACCCTTGGACAAATTACTTAATCTCTCTAAGCCTCAATTTCCTCATCTATAAAGTGGGGGTAAACTAATACCTAACTCACAGGGTTGTGGTAAGGATTAAGTCAGAGATAATGTATGTAAACTCCTCAGGAGAGTGCCTGGCAAATACTAAGCCCTCAATAAATGGTATCAATTATTTCTACTATTATAATTAATAAATCCCTGCTCAGCTTTCCAGCAATTTTCCTCAAGCACCTGGTCCTTGGCCAAAGCCACACTCATTACCCTATGGCGTGCCTTTCTATTTAGTGCTGTTACTTAAACTAGCCAAGTTCCTGCCTGTGGAGAAGCCTGGTATCCGGAGTCACTTGGATCTGGGGATATGATCTCAAGGGGGAACATGGGTCACTCTGGGCTGGGGAGACAGGTGGTTTTCTTTTAAATATCAGGCTCAGCAGCAGCATCAAAAATAAAATAAAATGAAGTCTATTTGAGTGTCTACTTTGTATTAGATGTTGTCTAGGAGATGGGAGAGGAGATATGTTAATTCTTCCAGTATTGATGGAGTATCTGCTGTATGCCAGGTACTCTGCCAGATGGGGGAGATACAGAGATGAGCAAGCACAACCTTCAAGGAGTGTACAGCCAACTGGGGGAGTCAGATTTTAAACAGAGATCATCCAGTGAGAAGATGGCATAAGAGAGGCACCCATGTGTGCTGAGGGGGAGAGTATACAGGAAACTCAGCAAGTGGGGCAGGGTGACATTTGTGAAGAGGTCCCAAGGGGGAGGAGCTGGGGCTGAGCACTAACCCACAAGTAGGAGCTGGCCACGTGAGGTGAGCACACACAGAGGCCCAGAGGCAGGAGACAGCATAGCCAATCAAACAACAGCAAGTAGATGGGGATAGTGGGAGTATTAAGTCCGATGATAGTAGAGGATGGGCCTGGAGAGGCAGATGCCACCAAGTCATCATGCCAAGAAGTCTGCTGTGACCTGAGCAATACAGGATTAGTGTGGAGCCCAGCATTACAGGAAGAATGATATGATAGCTGGCTGAGGGCATCTAGGAGGTGGACCTGATCGGCAGCTTGGTGGCCAGTTAAGAGGGAGTTGGGAGTCTGACCCAAGATGGCAGTGGTGCTGATGGAGGAGGGAGAATGTGGTGCTAGAAAACCTCCCTTGGGTGCCAGAGGGGCCAGCTCACTGCAGCTGGGGCACAGAGGTATGAGACAACTGCTTTCCCCATGAGATTTTAGAATCTAGCTGGAGAATAAGAACTGGTACCACTGGGTTCAGGCAGCACCTGTCTGGGGAGGGGACAGGAGCAGAAAAAAAATCTTTCACTGAATACCCTTTTGTACTTTGAACCTGACTATATTACCTATTCAAAAATTAATAAAATTACAACAATAGCACAGACAGTAAATGCCAAGTTGAAGAGCTGGAGTTCCCTGTGGGCTCGAAGAAGGCTTCTAGGAGGGAATGGGGATTCAGTATAGAGGCAGTTTCCTGTGCCGGAGGTTGAGCAATGTACTCTCGGCCAGCAGAAGAGTTCTACTTGAGCTAGACACCTCATAAATCCTGGAACTGCCCCAGTTAGGCACAAACAGCCCCACAGAATGGGGAAGTGTTTGCAATGACAGTGTCGAACTGTCCTGCAGGCTGCACTTCCCTGGTATTTTCTGTCTACCTTCCCATTCCAGCAAGAAAAGAGGGAGCACAGCTAGAAACAAAAGCATGGGAATAGGTTAGTTACCAGCTGCTGCCAAGTGCTCAAGACTTACCTCCTCCAGGAAGGCCTCCCTGACCGACTCACTCAGAATCACCCAGGTCACTTCAACTCCCTTTCCCTAGCACTGCGTTGTGGTCCCTCGAAGTGGGGTTGGCCTTTATTCCTTTTATTTCCCCTGGAGAAAGAGACCTAGGGTTAAACTGAGCCCTGCCCAGGCATCTGTTCTTTCAATCCAACCTGGCAGTCGAAGGCTTTCTCTCTGGAGCCTGTAATTCCTCAAGGTACTAACCACATCCTGAAGTGAAAGGAGACACCTGTGATTAGCCTTGGCAGTAAAGGACTCGGTCTCTAGTCTGTTTGCTCAGCATGCGGGCAATAGGAAAAGATTCACTAGGAAGAGACACATAATCCAATGGAAGGCAGAAGACTAGGATTAAGGATTCCGACTCTCTGCACAGATGATGCCTAGAAGTGTGGTTAGCAAGGTCGCGGAGGTCACCGCTCCATCAGCCTTGGTGAAGGAACAGCCCCTCTTGTATGCAGTGCTGTACTTTGTCAAGTACAGGGCTTCATAGGACCCTCCCCCCAGTGTCTTGTGTAGCTCCCTCACCTTTGGGTTCCCACAGTATGGCCACCAGACCAGGTGCACCGGCAAGTGTGCCCACAGCCCTCATCCACTCATTCCCCTCCTGTGGCTGCGGAGCGTTCATTCTCAGCCCTTTTTCCTCCAGCTACTCTTGGGGTTTCAACACATCAGACCATCTTGGCTTCAGTACTGAGGTGATGCCAGAACACAAATTCGCCTTCACTCACTAGCCTAAGGGAACTGGGCCTTCACCCAGCTCAGTGTCTATCACACCACTGACTGCAACCCACTATAGGACTGCGAAATAAATTTAAACTGTTGCAAATTAGCATGTAAAAATTCTTTAGAAAAGATCAGGATGGAACAGAACAAAAAAGAAAATATCAAAGTATGTCATATGTAATACAGGCATTGTTTTGTTAAAATTTCACTTCAGTTATTATACATACATAGTGTTTCAAAAGTCTTAGTGCAGTTTTAAGCTTTAATAACTTCAGAAGCAGAAATGCTACAGACTTTCAAAGAACATCATTTGAAAATTTTATTTAAATTTCATTTACCTTTTTGAGTTTTATGAATTTTGAATAAAATTTTATTTTAATGTTTGTTTCAATCCATTGATGATAAACACTTCCTGATACAAACTTAAACTGAAAAATTGTTATTCAAAATTCATAAAGGTAAAAAATTGAAATTATTACATTTTCAAATTGTGGGTTTTTTTGTTAGTTTGTAGAATTCATACCTCTGACGTGATTTAAGTGTAAAACAGCCTGAAGACTTTTAAGATACCCCGTCACACATTAAGTGGGTATGAAGTTTTGTTGTAAAACGTCTTTCTTACTGTGGTCCAGTCATAGACATCTGAAAGCCAATGACACTGTTCGATCCCTCCATTTTACATTCTAGCCTCTCCCAAGAAGCCTTCTTTGATCTCTCCCATCTTGCCGCTTAGCAGAGTGTTTATACTTCTACCCTGGCCCCATCACAGCCTTTCCTGTGTGGGAGGAGTCTGTTCTCTTACACCTCTGTGAACTCCTGGACCAGGGATGCCAGGTTGTTTTCACCTCTTTATCACTTGCAAAGTCTAGCACAAGTTTACTATGTCGGAAGTACTCCATAAATTCTTGTTAAATGAGCAGAGGACAGAGGAGTTAAAGTCACAAGGGTAGGTACTGGCTTCACCAAGTGTTTTGAATGTACTCATTCCAACGAGCATTGAGTTACATGATATTCTGCTGTTAAGCATCAGCGTGCCACTTTGACTAGGTCTGTCTGTGAGTCCAGCACCCTCATTTTACACGTGAGGCCAGAGTGGTTAGGTGACTTCTCTATAGTCACACAGCTTGCAGCTCCCAGGAGCAGATGGTAGTCTCCTAACTCCCAAGCCACTACTCTGTTCCCACATCTTACCTACCCCTTGGAGGACCCTTGGGGAGTTTGGGGACTGGGTTTGGCTCTCCTGAGCCTGGGGTGGGGCTACAAATGCTTTAAAGATGCCACAACTGTAAGTCCTAAGCAAACTTTCAGCTTTTATGAAAGCCAGAGTAAACCATGCAGAACACACCCTTGCTGGCCGGTAGCCTCTTTGTAACAAAGTTTCTTTCTGTTTATCAGCTGAGCTCCTCACCTCCGGGAGACGTGGCAGCCAGGAAGTAAGACAGCACCACAGGGATGTTTGTTCAAGTTAGTCAGACTAAGGCTCAATTACAGGTTTCTTCGGAAAAGAGATGGCTGTGGCCACTCTCACCCAGGGCCCAGGTGTGTGGAGCTGGACATCATGTTGGGGCGGGGGACAGGTCAATTTCAGGCTGCTGGTGGGGGGAGGGGGCCAAGAGGCTGCTTTGGCCAAATGATCATCCCTTTGTTCCTTGCCATCAAACACAGCAGCACTCATTTCACTTCCTCTGTTCTCGTGCTGTGAACGAAGTAGCAAATGATCCCCCCCCAACCCCTCCTCCCAACTCTGACTCTTCTGATTACAGAATGCTGGGAGGTTTTCACTTTTTCTCCATAATTACACTTTCAAGACACTTGAGCTACTGTGGCTTATTTTCCCAGAAAGATACACTGAAAGCTATTTCTGTAGCTAGTCTATCAAATTCTTCCCCTAGCATATCTAGGTTCACTTTATGTTAGTATAACATTTTATGCTTAAATTACCCAAACACAGATTTTCAATTGAAATAACCTACCCAACTCTGCTCAGATTATATACCTAGAATAGTGCTTGGCATATATATAGTAGGCACTCAGTAAATATTTGTTGATTTTATTACAAATTTGTAAAAGTCCCTAAAAATAAAAAGAATATGTAACCAAAAAGGAAGTTCAACAGTTAGCTCACAGGTTTTACTTCCAGGCCCTGAAAGGTGGGACAGGGATGTCCAACTCTCAAATTGGGCATTGAGACTGCTGGCTCCTAGGAATCCAGGGATGAAAGAGGAACCTTCAGGTGGGCATGAGGTGGGATTTCCTAAACCCTGGTGACAGTCAGGCTGGGTTTGAGAGAAGGCAGAAAAAAGGAACTTGAATTGAGTCTTCTCTGTCATTTGGGGATTGGGGTGGAGAGGGTGGGGGGCCGGGGTTAAGAGGAGAGGTATTCCTGAAGGCTTCGACTGGTCTCCAGATTGGGGTGGGGGTGATAGGATAGAACTGAAGTTTTTCCTTCTCTCCTCGCCCCACAGTGTGCTCCTGGCTGTAGGCCTTCTACTCACTCAGGGTGCCCAGATACTCAACATGTCACACCCTGAACTCAGGGTCTGTGCCCTACCCCCTCACCTGTGAGCTAACTGTTGAACTTCATTTTTGTTTATTCTTTTTATTTTCAGGGACTTTTACAAATTTGTAATAAAATCAACAAATATTTACTGAGTGCCTACTATATATATGCCAATCTCCCCACAGCAGCCAGTAGCATCGAAATCCTAGAAACAAACTCTGCCCCTGCCCCACTTCCAGGTGTGTAGTTTTGAATCCCTTCTCAATTTCAGTTCACCCCACACCCACTGCCAAATTCTGCTGATTCATTCCCTGCCTCCTGGATCCTCCTCTTCCTTCCTACTCAAAACCCTCATCTGAGAATGTGCCCTTATCACCCAACATCTGGAAGATAAGCAGAAGCTGCCTGCCCACCTCCTCCGCCTCAGGCCTCCCTCTCCCTTTCACAATCAGAACAGCCATGTTCATATTTCTTTAGCGCCATTTGACTGCACGTTTCTACATGGCCTGGACAATCTGGTTCCTGTTTGCTGCTCACCCTCACTGGCTATCTTTTCCTCCTCAAAGACTTTTCCTTACATTCTTGCTGAGCAAGCCATGTTTCTTTTCTCTTTCAAATTCTTACTTGAAACTCCCCTCCTCCGAGAAGCCTTCTTAAGACTAAGGTGCATCTTACTGCCCTCAGCATGAAGGTGTATTTGTTTCCAAGTTTCACCACCCATGTTTCCCCATGTGGGACTTCCCCACTAGATTTTATGGGGAGAACCAACAGGCCTAGACACTAGGCCACTTAGATCCTGTTTTTTTTTCTCCTTCCCAATCCTTAAATCCTGGTCCCAATCTTCTGCTTCTGGAATGCAATCCACCTAGCCTTCCAAACCTGTAGTATCCCTCTGCCCCGTCTGCTGTCATCTGTCTGTCCTTTGTTCTCTGTTATATGTCAGATGTAGAGCTGAGAGTGAGGATTGGGTTTCTTCCATTCTTCAGATCTCTATGTAGGGCTTAGGACCAGGTTGCACAGGGTACAGGAGAATAACCTGACCCCATAGGGCTCTTGGGTGCCACAAAAGAGTCTTCTAACAGTCCTTTTTCTCCCCAGACTGAACCCATCCTTGTTCACTGTGCAAGCCTTTTACATAGCACAATTACCGCATTGAGCTCGACACAGAGACAGTCACTGCCCTGCACTTGACCTCTCCTTTATTCAAACCCTCACTCTCATTCCCATCAAATGAGAACGGACATTTTGGGCTTTCCAAGAGAAGAGCAGAGTGCTGTATGAAGAGCTGAGTTTACCCAAGTCTTCGGCACAGCCATTCACTGGGTCCCTCCAGTGCGCAGACACCTGCTCTGGTCCTCAGCTTCACTTCCAGGGCTGGAGATGTCAGAATGTGCCTGTGAGAGCCAGAGGAGGGTTAGGACAATACCAACACTTTTTAAATTACTACTTACTATCAAGTCAAGTAACAGTTATCTTCTCCATTTTACACAGAAGGAAACAAGCACAGGGAGGTGAAGTAACTTGACCAACGTCACATAACTAGGAAGTAGCGGAGGCAAGATTTGCACTCAGGCCCACATCTCTCCAAAGCCCACTCACTGCCTTAACCATGACATCACACTGCCTTGCATTTGGCTGGTGCTTGGAGCCTTGCCAAAGCACTTCTATATACACCTTCTCATTTGCTCCCCACCCAGGGAGTGTTTATGTGATTTGGCCAAGGTTAGACAACTAAATTATCGAAAGGGCTGAGTCAGATGCCTGCCTCCACTATACCCACTGCCTTCCCTAACTGAGAGGCCCTCGGTGCCAGGGTTAGCTGCCCCTCCTATT